ATTCAGTTTTTTTGGGTTGAGGTTTGGGTCACACACACACACACACACACACACACACACACACTTGCGTGGGTTACCCCCTGGCTCTGTACTCAGGGGTCACTTCTGGTCATGCTCAAGGCACCATAGGCTAAGGGAGATTGAACTGTGTTTGGCTGTTTGCAAAACAAGCATCCTCTCTCTCTCTCTCTCTCTCTCTCTCTCTCTCTCTCTCTCTCTCCTCCCTTATCTCTTTGTCTCTCTCACTCTCTTTTGTGGGTAGGGGGCACACCCGGCAATGTTCAGGGATTACTTCTGGCTCTGCACTCAGGAATCACTTCTAGTGATGCTCAGGGGACCATATGGGTTGCTTGGGATTGAACCCTGTTTGGCTGGTGCAAGGCAGACAGCCTACCTGCTGTGCTATCACTCCAGCCCTAAACTACCTCTCCTTTAAGATTGTTCTGTAGATAACTTTACATGTCCAAAAGGATTTATCTTCACAGTAATTATTGTAGTATAGTTTGAATGAACTAAAGAGTGGATAGTCTTCATAAGTATTTGCAGGAAACTGAGGAAAATAAATGACTTCTAAGAGTATAAAAAGAAGACTCCCAGAACCATGCCACCGGACTCTGCACCAGGCTGTGGGTGGGTGAGAGCCTTCCTTGCCCCAAGGGACCCAGCCCTGGCAGCCGACCTCCACTGCCCAAACACCGCCACATTCCAGGCTGTTTTCCGGATGCTCAGGCCAAGCCTCACCAAGAATGAAGTCCCATGGAACCCAGATAATGCAGAACTTTGTGATCTTGGACTCTGGACTCAACAGACCGGAACAGAGATCCTCTGCCTGCTTCCCCCAGTTCCCGAGACTCAGGACACACCCATAAGCCACACCCTGCCAGCACCAGATAATCTCCTCATCGGCCACCCTCCAGAACTCATGGATGCTCTTCCCAGATGGGAGTATAAAAGAAGGATTCCAGAACCATGCCACCCGACATCGTGCCAGGCTGTGGGCAGGTGAGAGCCCTCCCCTCCCCACCCCAAGTCCTGGCAGCTGACTTCCACTGCCCAACCACCGTCACGCTCCAGACCGCTTTTTGGACTGGCCCACAACACATTATAAGACGTTTCCTACCCATTTATGCCTCTTGGAGAGCTTGGCAAGCTACCGAGTGTCCCACCTGCACGGGCAGAGCCTGGCAAGCTCCCCTTGACGTATTTGATATGCCAAATACAGTAATGACAATAGGTCTCATTCCCCTGATGCTGAAAGAGCCTCTGATCATTGGGAAAAGATGAGTAAGAAGAGGCTGCTTAAATCTCAGGGCTGGGAGACATTACTGGTGCCCACTCGAGTAATTTGATGACCAATGGGATGACAGTGATACAGTGATCAATAAAAAAGCTTTTTACAAGAATGAAATAGCCTAAATGTAGAATAACGAGGATGGTTTCACAGCTGTATTAATGAGGGGATAAGGCAAAGTGTACTGAGTAATTACTGTGTGTAATGAAAATACGGGGACATATATTTACATATATGATTCTGAAGAATGTCTTTAAAAAGATGACCAACGTTGGGGCTGTATCGATAGTACAGTGGGTAAGGTGTTTGCCTTGCACGCGGCTGGCCTGGGTGCAATCCCCGGCATCCCCTCTTCCTAGCAATGCCAGGAATAATTCCTGAGTGCAGAGCTGGGGTAACTCCTGAGCATCACCAGGTGTAATCCCAAAAGGCAATAAATAAGTAAAATGTTAAAAAAATAGCCAAAGAGGAGGTGGTAGTATTTTCCTTTGGAAATAAGAAATGGGAGCTGGGCAACAGCAGGAGAGAGCCTTCTTTTCATCATTCCCTGTAATTTTTTCTTTTTTTCAAATCATGAGCTTGTCTTACCTTTATAACATTAAAAATGTAAAAAATGTGTTGTTTTTAAAAGCATATGCCAATTTAAGTCCATATTCATTAGAGTCTTCCTAAAGCCAACTGAAGCGTGGGGCTGGAGCAGTAGTACAGTGGGTAGGGTGCTTGCCTTGCACATGGTCAACCAGGGTTCAATCCCTGGCATTCCACATGGTCCCCTGTCTACCACCAGGAGTGATTCCTGAATGCAGAGCCAGGAGTAACCCCTGGACATCGCCAGGTGTGGCCCAAAAAGCACAAGCAAACAAACAAAAAACAAAACAGAACAAAAACCCTGCATAGGTTCAAGACTCTATAGTGTCTCTCAGAGGATTCTGCTTTACCTGAAGACGCTTGAGATTCAAGGACCAAAGGACAATGAGCAGGTTCATGGGAATCAGAATGCTGGTGGGTCATTGGTAGCAAGTCATATTTATAGTAGCAGTCATTTGAATGCATTATTTTTATAACTTGAGTTAAGAAACAACTCTTAATGGGCACTGGTGGAGAGATGGATAATCGATCATTGTATGACTGAAATGCAAGCACGGAAGTTTGTAAATCTGTAATTGTACCTCAATGTGATTCACTAATTAAAAAAAAAAGAAAGAAACAGCTCTTGGGTAGTGGGCACTGGTAAAGAGATTGGTGTTGGAACAATGTATGTCTGAAACTCAATCATAAATATCTTTGTGACTTTGTAATTCATGGTGATTCAATAAAGCAAACAAATAAAAAACTCCTTTTTTGTTGTTTTTAGGACACACCTGGCAGTGATTAGGGATCACTCCTGGTGGGCTTGGGGAACCATAAGGGATGCGAGAGATTGAACCTGGGTCATTCCCGTGCAAGGCAAGCGCCCTAACCTTTGTACTATCTCTCTCTTCTGAAACAACTCTTCTTTTCCACATTTTGTTTTTTCTTTTCTTTTTGGGTCACACCCGGCGATGTACAGAGGTTACTCCTGGCTCTGCTCTCAGGAATTACTCCTGGCAGTGCTCAGGGGACCATATGGGATGCTGGGAATCGAACCCAGGTCAGCTGCGCGCAAGACAAACACCCTACCCGCTGTGCTCTCGCTCTAGCCCCTTCCACATTTTATTTCCCCCTTTTTTTGTGATGACTGGGAGGGTGTGTGTGTCACATTCCTTCAGCTGCAGGCTTGTGTAAACGATAAAGAGCAGGGTGTGCAGGGGAGCATGGCTTTGTTTAGCACACTGCTTGGGGTAAGCAAGGTCATTGGCATATTGGCAGCACTAAAGCCTGTGGGTCAGTAATGACTTCATTAGATGTCATCAGCTGTAAGAGATGGAAAGGCCTGTGTGAGCTGCTCCATCTTCCTCCCCCGCCTCATTTGGAACTTCATTTCTGGCAATCCCGGATTCAACCTCTCTGGCCTCTTTCTGTCCTGAAATGTGTTCTGTCCTTCCTGTCTTCACACATTGCCCGGAATGTTCAAATTCCTCCTCCTCCTCTTCCAATTCTCTATTCAAAGGTCACTTCCTCTGGAAAAATCTTACACAGCCCAATCTCTGTCATGGCTCCTGAACTTCTCCTTTGAAGCACAGATACTATTATTAATAATTAGGCACCGAGTAATGTTTGTTCTGGTTACTTCTATGTCCCTATACTGTGCCTGCCTTCTACTAGGAGTTTAAAATCAAGAGTTGGGGCCTTGTAGATGGCTCAGTGGGCTGGAGAGCATGCGCTATAGGCAAGAACTCTGGGCTCAATCTCTAGTACCACATGTCCCCCAAGTGCTATTGGGAGTGTCCCCAAAACCAAAATATAAACAAATAGTAAAACCTTCATATATGGGCCAGTTTTTACTTTTTTCACTCTGGAGAAGTCCGTGTTCTCTCTTGAACACTTATCATTTTCTCACTTTTCACATTTCTTTAAATTTCTTTCAATAAAAAACTATTTTACTCCGGGGGGGGTGGGGGGGGAGACTTTCCATGTATGAATGAATGAACCTGAAGGGAAAAAGAGAGGGCTGGAGGGATAGCATAGTGGGTAGTGCGCTTGCCTTGCATTTGACCGGCACAGGTTTGATTCCTGGAACCATATACAGCCCCCAGAGCCCCACCAGGAGTGACCCCTGGGAACAGACCAAGGATTAAGTCCTGAGCACTACCAGGTCTCCCCCCCCCCAAAAAAAAAAACAAAAAACAAAACAAACAAACAAAAAACCAAACCAAACCAAACCAAAACCCAGAGAGGGTTGGAGAGATAGCTCAACAGGCTGAGGATGTACTTTGCACTTCGCATGTGGGATAGCCAGGTTCAATCCCTGGAACTGCGTTTGGTCTCATGGGCATTGCTAAGTATGGGCCCCAAACAGGAAAACAGAGAGAAAAAGGAGAAGGGCTATGCAGGCAGGAGAGGTGAGAAATGCAGTGGAGTGTTGCTACCTCCCTCCAGCCGAGCCTGGGACTTTGGCCAAGCTTCAGGGAGGTGCTGGTGAAGTGTCAGAATAGCAGTTGAAGCAACTCAGACTTGGCCACAGCAGCATCACACTCTCTGGCTTACCCACAAGAGTTGGCCTAGCCAAGTGTCTTGGCTTCAGAGTTAAAATATAAGCACCGGACTTCGCAGATACGAGGTGCGACTTTTGCTAGTGAGCCTGCAGCTGTGGTTCAGCGGAGTCCAGGAATGATGTGCTGGAGCACAGAGCCGTGGACTTGAGCACACCTGGCCACAACAGGTCACCACGTGGTCACGAGCCTTGCCCCGCTTCCCAGAGCATCTGGTGTGGAAGGAAGTGAGTTATTATTTCCCCTGAAAATGATGTGTACTTTGTGGCTTTACCAAACTTGTACCTTTGAGTTTGGGCTGACCAGATCAAGTTTGCTATTTATAGTGGTACAGACAAGTACGGCCCAATCCTTCCATAAACTTTGAAAGCCTGCGGGCTAAGTATCACACAGAAGACTGATTCTCTACCAAGAGCTGGCAGACATGGACAAGCACATTATATGTTCTTTGAACACAGATACTTTTTTTTCTGGCCTCAGAAATCAAACCTAGGGCCTCCTACATATGAGCCCATGCTATATACATGCTGAGCCACATCGCTCGTCTTTAAATGTCACATAGAAAACACACACACTCATGCTTATTAAAAGGTTTATTTTCTTCTTTATGCTCGGAAATAAAGAAGTGGTCTTTCCCCCCCGAAGAATCTTATCTTGAAGGAATGGAAAGCTAAGATAGTGACAGAACGGTGTTGGTGTGAGGTTAAATGTGGGAACAGCCCACTTTCCCTACTATCACTCCTTTTTTCAATGTTCCCCTCTAAAAATTTAGTTGTGAATATAACTTGCCACCCAATGGGGGCCTTGGGGAAGCACAGCTTAGTAAAATATTAATGCCCACATACAACAAGAGATGTGTCCAGTGTGTATCTGGAGGGACTAGGAGGAAGGGGGGAGGGAAGAAATGGGAGTTGGTTGAAGAAGCCACTGGATGGCAGCAGAGGGAAGAGAGGCCGGCACCCTCCTCATGATGAAAGTGTGTGCTTGGTCCTGCCCCCTCCCCTCCAAGACCATCCACTCCCTCCTTCCAGTCCCACTTCCTAGCAGAATTGGTCATCGTAATCTTCATCCTTCATCCCCTTCAGCCGAAGCCGGGCAAAGTCCTCAAACACGATGTCATCATCAGTGGCATAGCTTGGTGGTGGAAAGGATGAGGTGAAGTGAGGGCTAAAGGTCACTACTTGACCTCCTGCTCCCTTCCCAGACTGAGGGGTTAGAGCCCCAGTGGGGCCAGAGGCATTTGCAAGAAAGGGCAGTCAGGGGCTGGAGCAATAGCACAGTGGGTAGGGCGTTTGCCTCGCACGCGGCTGACCTGGGTTCAATTCCCAGCATCCCATATGGTCCCCTGAGCACTGCCAGGAGTAATTCCTGAGTGCATGAGCCAGGAGTAACCCCTGTGGATCGCCAGATGTGACCCAAAAAGCAAAAAAAAGGGCAGTAAAAGGCAGGTCACAGAATTGGAGCGAGCACACGTTTTGCTGGCACGATCTTCGATCCCTGCTAGCAAACAAAAACGGCAGCTCACATTGCTAAGTCACCTGCATTGGGACTTTGGCATTTTCCCCCTCCTTAACATTCTCCCCCATCCCCCACCACACACACCCCCAAGAAAAAGCGAAGGGCAGATTTTAAAATTATAGGAATCTAGGGGCTGGAGCATAGAGGGTAGGACATTCGCCTTGCACCCGGGTTTAATTCCCAGCATCCCATATGGTCCCCTGAGCACCGCCAGGAGTTATTCCTGAGTGCAGAGCCAGGAGTAACTCCTGAGCATCGCTGGGTTGTGACCTAAAATTACACGAATCTTTGTCCTAGAGAGTCAAAGACAGAAAGGTAGAAGAATTTCTTACTTGGTATCAAATTCGATGAGGTTGGTATCCACAGGGGCATCTGTTTCAGGAACAGCTGAGGGGAGCAGAGGGGGTGGATGGGTGGATGCTGGAAGAACCAGTTTGGGTTTTTTGTCACTGGCCTTGCTCTAGAACCTCCAGTTGGGGGTTCAGAGTGAATGTGTATATGCTCACCTGATTGGGGTCTGGGCAGGGTGATATGGTCATGGGGCTTGGGGTGCATAAGAACAAAAGGCAGCTCCACAGAGACATCCCTGGGTGGGGAGAAAGGCCACATGTAGCCACAACATCACAGGGCCAGAGAAAACCCCTGGCACTCCCACCCGAGGCCCCCTCACCTCACTCACCCGCCACGAGATACCACCAGCTTCACCTTGACCCGGTAGGACACCAGTATTCCCAGCACCTCCTTGTTGGCACCCTCCTTCACACTGCAGTTGGGAAGGGTGGAGTTGGACCAGGGCACCCCAACCTTCCCTCAGGGCTTCCCTTGGATTCTGGATTCTGAGCAGGGGTTACTAAGGTGAACCAGCCCTCGGGGCTCCCAGAGTTAAGATCATGGCAGAAGGTCCAGCAAGGGGAGCAGGTGGGAGCCCGTTGGGAACTTCTGTCCCCCACAGGTAAGATGAGGTCCTTGTGAGACAGATCAACACTGTCCTGCTCAACATCAGTCTTCAGGTCTCACCTCCTGCTCCTCCAGTTAATTCATTCTCACCTAACCGCCCTCCCGGCTTTACACAGGGGTCAGTGGGACCCCTCAGTGAAGCCGAGAGCCTCTGGGCACTTGCAGCCATGGCAACAGTGGCCCCTTCAAGGCCAGGAGCTCTCTGGACCTCCTCACACTTCCTCCAACACACTGTCAGCCTCACCTCTAAGCCTGTGCCTGCCATTCTCTCCATCTGGACCACTTTTTCCTGGGTCGTCATCACCTACTTCCTCTGGGTTCATACTCAACATTTACCTCAGTATTAGGCACCCCATTTAATGCTAACACACAAATCCTCTCTGTGCTTTTTTATCTCTTTTCTCTACTTGCCTTTTTGGGGTTGTTGTTTAGTAGTTGCGGGGCCACACTCTGCTGTGCTCAGGGCTTACTCCTGCCTATGCGCTCACGGATCACTCCTGGTGGTACTCAGGGGACCAAGCTGAGTCCTGGGGAATCAAACCCAGGCAAGCACAGCAAGTACCGTCTCTCCAGACCTCTGCATACTTTTCTTCTTCTTTTTTTAATCTCCAGCACTTGTCCCTAAGCACACGATATGCATCCCCTTCTAATTGTATGTTGCTGGTAATGAGGACAGAGCCTGGCACACAGCTGGCACTGAATATCGAATGTCTATCCAGGCAGGGTTCCCCCCGCCCCCCAACCCAGTTCATTCTCACATGGTGCTGGAAGCCAGGTTGGTGTCCTCATGCTTGAGCTTCCCATCCAGGGCAAGCCCTCGCTTCTCTCTGTTGTCGCTGAGCAGCGGGGTTATGGTGTACACCTTACAGAACGTTGAGCTGGGAGATACCTGGTCACTGGGGGGTGAGGAGGTGGGCGAGGGGGAGGGGAAAATAAGGCTCTTGGAGGAGTCAGGATGGGTGTGGTGGCAGCTCCCATCTCCATCCCTTTCTCTTTGGACACAGGTCACAAGGGAACAGCTGAGTCTCCTCAAGAAAACGCACCTCCCAGATGTCTCAGCTAAGGCAGGGATGTCCCCGCTGGTAGTTTGGGGAGGCTTCCACCCGCACCTCACATCTCCCCTGGGCCTGCTCTTCTCCCCTCAGGTTGGGACCCAGGGCTGTTCGATACTTACTCTTGTTCGATCTGGGCCACCGGACACTTGTACTGGGCAGTGCTGAAGAGGCAGATGTCGGCATACTGTCTCACTGCGGGGCGAGGAGCGGTTAATGGCTCTGCAGAGCTGACTATCTCGTGCCCACCACAGTGTGCCCTGTCCAGCACTGGCCTATACTCTGCTACACGCCCCAAGCAGCGAACAACAGTAGCCCCCACTGCACAGCTCGTTGAAACAGCCTACATCCTACGAGTTCTGGTAGGGCTCCCACACTGGGTGTTCAAGGGCTATGATGACACCAGAAACCATTCGTGCAGCAAATTCCCCCAACTTGCATGTTCCCCACTCCCCCGCAGGCCCCCTGCCAGCCCCCAATCTCATTCCTACCAGAAACTTTGATCTTCTTGACAGTCTTGGTAGAGTTGTTGGTGACGTGGACGTTGACATTGAGGGGCTCCCCATGGTAATACAGCTTTTAAAGAGAAAGAGGGTCAAATTAATCTTGGGGAGAGCCACATCCGGTGGTGCTTAACTTTATTCCTGGCCCTGTGCTCAGGGATCACTCCTGGTGCTGCTTGGGGGACCAGATGTGGAACTGGGATTGAACCTGGGTCAGCTGGTTGACCAGCTGTGTGAGACGAGTGACTTCACTGCTGTACTCTCTCTGGCCCCGTAATCTGATCTCTACTGGTCCCTCTGATAGTGTGGCCCCTGATACAGACACTGAGTGGCACCCTCCCTCTGAACCCAAGCCCACAGCAAATCTCCATATGCCACTAAGGCAACCTCCTTTAACCCACGCGGGAGCGCTAGTATAGGGGTAAGGTGTTGGCTTGCACGCAGCGGAGCCTGTCCCATCCCCAGTCACTGCTGGGCGTCACCCCTGAGCACAGAATTGGATGTGACTCCAGAGCACCCAAAGGTGTGGCTCATCCCCAGCCCCTGCTAAAGCGCTAAGGCAGCCCTGACAGATGATCTCACCCCCCGCCCCCACCCAAGGCCTGGCCTGGCCTGCGGCCCCTGTGCATCCCTCACACACCCCACCTCTTTATCCAGGGACGCCTCAAGGTGCAGGGATCGGTCAGACATGAGGAAGTGGCGCGTGGTTTCAGCTGAAGGTTGGGGGCCGGGTTTCTCTGGGGCAAACTGCACCTTTCGGATCACCAGACGCACAGAATTCCTGGGGGTGGGGGGCTGCGGTCAGTCCTCAGATACCCACTTCTACCTCCTCCAGGGGCCTGGGGTTCCTGGGAGCGTGCAGTGATGGGGAAGTCATTTCCTCACCTTTTGTGGCTTTTCTCTTCTAGTGAGAGGGCACAGAAGGCTCGAATCTCAAAGTCTACCCCGCAGGCCTGGAAGAGAAAGAAACCTCACACCAGGCCTCAGCCCCTGGCTCTGCCCCCGTTTCCCTCTCCTCTCATCTTGGGCAAGGATTCTTTTCTCATTCTGATCTGGAGGACTGGAGGGTCTTCCTCTTCTGCCTCCTGAAGGCTGGCACCTGGCTATGGTAAGGTGAGCCACTGTACCTGATTCAGGCAGGACCTGAGGACAGGGACACTTCATGTGCATCCCGCTTCCAATGGGCATACTTCCTGGCTCTTAGTCCCATCCTGGCTTCTTGATAGCCCTGCCCCTCTGGGGCGTGTCCTATGCTCCCGCTGGGCCCCTTTAGTCCCGTGGGCCTTAGGCTGTTCCTTCCTACCTTCCCTGTGTCCTCTGGGCCTGGCTGCAGGGTGACAGAGCAAGGCAGGTTCTGGGGTATCTGTGGCAAAAGAAAGGAGCTTAGTTCATCCACAGCCCCCAATTCTTCTAGAGAGGTCCCAGTCTCAACTCAGAGGCTAGAGCTGGACTCCTGGGGATGAAAAGGAAGAGAGGACAGAGAGACTAAGGCTTCCTAAGCACAGGTACTCCCCCCCACCCCCAATGACATGTAGGGTCCCTCCTTACTATTTCTTCCAGTATTTTTTTCTTGCTTGTAACAAGTGCATTATCTCCCCGCGTGCCCTCCCCCCACCCCTCTCCACACACACACACACACACACACACACACACACACACCCTCCCAACACCCTCCAAATCCCTTGCCCTGCTAAGGTGGGGGCACCCTCACTGTGAAAAAAAAGGGGTGGGCATGTTGGCCCAGCTTCCTCAGCAGCCGGTCCTGCAGGCGCGTGGGGGGCCGGGGCGGGTTGGGCACTGGGGGGAAAGCCTGGTATGTGGCGATGAACAGGTCTTTGCGGAAGGACAAGCCCAGCACGTCCAGGTCTTCACGGCCGTAGCGAAAGGCGCAGGTGAGGGTCACAAATACTGGCAAAGGAGAGCAGGTGGTGGGTCAGGAGCTTCCCTTGGCTATGACCCCTCCACCCCTCAGACCCCGGCCCTCCACTCCTAGCACGTTCTTGCCCCTTTCAAGAAAACTAAAAACTTTCGACTAAAACTAAAAGTTTTAAAAGCCACTAAGGTTTTTCAACTAAAAACTTTCTTCCTCTTCCTGGCTTCTTCCCAGTTCTCCAACGTTCTGGGCCCTTTTCAATTCTAGACATTTCACTTCCCCAACCCCCCACCTTCCCTGTGTCCTTGACCTGGGGACCAGTACCTTTGCGATCCTTCAAGTAGTCAGGGTCCACAAGCACCACACCATCTGGGAAAGGGACACACGAGCACGCCTGTCAGGACTGCGCCACCATTTCTGGGCGCTGGAACTTCTTCCCCTTCCGGGAGAACGTCATGCCATTTCTGGGGACACTCACCTACAGGATCCACTTTGTCCAGGTGATCTACAAAGTCCCGCTTGCCCAAGTACACGGTGAGCTGAGGATGTGGAGTCACAGGGAAGATGGGGTTGGGGTGTCACAGGACATCAGAGCACCCGTGTGCTCTGGGGAGAGAGCTGGGGAGATAGCTCAACGGGCTGGAGCACGTGTTCTGCAGCCCCAGCACCACTCCGTGGGTATGGCCCAAACACCAAAAGAAGGACCCAAACAAACTGAAAAAAACTCAACGTGGCTGCCCAGTTCGTTTACTCAGGCTGGGGAGTGAGAGTTCCTCCAGATTTCTTCCCTTAAGGGTTTTCAAAATGGACACTGAGAATAGGGGGTAGGGAGCGGGGAAGGGGCTCCCCAAACAACTCAATCTTGAAGCTTTTCAGCAAAATCCTTCCATATCTGTGTCCAGTCAGTGGGGGGGGGCACGTGGGGGTGCACAGACAGGACTTGGCCCTGGGCAGGCAGGCAGAGAGCAGGGACTCGGGGATAAACAGACAACAACCCCAGGTGCTGTGTTTGGTTCTGAAAGAGGGCCAGAGGCATGGACTTCCGGGGCCCTCCTTTCGTTGGTCTTGCTTAAGAACCGACCCGTGTCCCCACTCGGATAGAGCAGCGTGGCTTGCTGGGGCTGGCTCATACAGAGCAGCCTTTGCCACAAGGGGCTTCAGGAGGGAAGGAAGTGCCTCTCAGCCGCCACAGGAAGTGGGGAGCTAGGGCGAGGGGAGTGCCTAGGCGTAGGCTGGGCTTGCCAGGCAAAGGAGAGTTATGAGTACAAGCGAGGCAGGAGGCTACTCACCTTGCAGTTAGGGCTTGACTTCTTGAAGACCCTAACAAAAGAGAAAGGAAAATCCCATCGCCTCCCTCAGACTCAGCAGGGGTCTTATTCCACTCTAGCCCTCTTTACCACAAGCTCCTCTGGAAGCTTTGGGGCTTTGCCTAGCTCCACCCACTCCCGCTTCTACACAGCAGATGAACACATCTTCTCAACATGGAAATCCCCCCAAGTGTTACTATGGTAACCCCCACTCCCCAATTCACCCCACCAGTTCCCCTCTTCTATGGCAATGGCCACTGGTTACCTCAGTAACCATTCAGGCTTTCCCCAGAGGTCCTCCCTCGGGGGCATATAAATGGTTGGCTGTGCATGCCATTTATATGTCCTGACTTCTTTCATCTGCTCTGTCTCCATCTCCAAGGCAGCTGGAGTACTCAGAAGAGCAATGGTGCTGGCCTTTGCCTCTAATATAATTTCTACCACTGGAACTACCTAAGTCTCAGTCTGTTCCATTAACTCCTAGCTGTTGTCCTCTCTGCTCTCAGCAACTTAAAAACCCATCTGTTTTCAAGGCCCAACTCATTTAGCACTTCCTTTAGAGCACATATTGGGCCCCAGACCCTGGTCACTCTTAATTTGGGTTCCTGTTATTCCTTGTTTGTGTCCTACTTGTAGGATAGCATGCAAAGGCAGTTAGATGCATATCACCAATTTCATGAGATAGACTGTGAGCCACCGCGGGCTCATGCGGTTAGCCATCTCTGGCACAATGCCAGCCATATGACAAAAATGATGATGTTAACATGTATTAGGTGAACACTCAATACTGAGCCTGTATTTCAAGTGTTCTATAAAGGTCACCTCATGTAATAAAATAACCTAATGAGGGAGGTTTTAATATCCCTATTTTACAGGTGAGAACACTGAGGCATAAGAAAGGTATTTTGATTAAGGTCACAAGTAAATGGAATACAGAAACAGAGATACTGTGACTCTGAGTCCACAATCTTAGTAACAAAACTATTTATAGCCCTGCTTCTGCAGTTAGCATGGTTTGTTGAAGTGAAGGGGATTCACTTCCCCGTTGGGGAGACGGTCTCTCCATGCACTGCCAGAAAGGTAAGGCGGCAAGCCCTGAACTAGAACCACTTGAGGGCCTGTTATTTACGGTACCATCCTACAATCCCCACCCAATTCACTGTCTCAGCAGCGAATGCTGAGGAGGGTTCCCAAAATTCCCCAAAACTGCCTTTGCATGCTATCATACAAGTAAGATATAAACAAGGAGTAACAGGAACCCAAATTAAGAGTGACCAGGGTCTGGGGCCCAATATGTGCTCTAAAGGAAGTGCTAAATGAGTTGGGGCTTGAAAGCAAATGGGCTTTTAAGTTGTTGACTTGGAAGTTCCCCAAAACTGCCAACTCTTCTGTCCCTCCTCTAACCCTACTTTTTGCTAGGAAAATTACACTTGCTTCTTCTCCAGGAAGGCTAAGCTATCTATCCAAAGAGAAAGCATGCGAAAGCCCCTAAATATGACCATCCGGCAAAGCTAAGAACAAACACTGGTACAGTGGCAGCTAAGAGAAGCTTCCCAATTCTTGTTCCAACTTGGGGGGCTCGACTGCTAGGCCATCAACTCCCTCTCTGTTATTTCTGGTCTTCTTTAGTCCCACTGATGCCTATCTCGGGCCCTGGCAGAAGCCTGTAACAATCACATTCAACTGGCAAGCTGGAAAGTAGTTTCGGGCTAATTGTTCTGGAAGTAGCTGTACAACTCTGCCATTTGGATCTGAATCCAGCCAACCTTCTGCAAGGCCAAGGAGAAGCATCATGAGTGTACTGAGGCTGCCCAAGGGGGTCTAAGGGTATGGCCAGGGAGGTACCCAGTATAGGGAAGGGGGTAGTAGACACAGATGCCCCATCATACTTCCTGCTATTCTCTTCATTTCCTGTGGCCTAGAATTGTATTGGGGGAGTGAGGTTAATATGTCAAGTCAGCAGTCCTATTCTGATCCATCATCTCTCCCCCTGAACCACTCTCCCTGAACCACACAACGGAAGTTGGGGGCCTTCCTCAAGTCTGCGACTTCCCCTTTCACTGGGGTGTTTAACTCCTAACCCGGGACAGCAATCTTCTTTCTCATCATCTGCTCCGGTGCCAGTCAACCTGGTGTTCAGGAACCTGGGACCTCATACTCTGCGATGGGGAATGGGAGGGTTGGCCAAACAATTTTTCAGAACAAATGACTTATTAGGACCTATTGATCAGAGGCTTATAACCCCTACGTTGTCCTCTTTAATCCCGCTTCCCAAGAACTCAGGCTTTCAACCACTGTCACTTTGGGGTGTTGGGTCACAACAGGAAGTGGACTAAAGACCACAAAAGAGAACTCGGGTGTCAGTGGAAGGAAAGCGCCTCGATTGCACAGAGAACATCCGGGGAGTGGATGGCGTGCACAGGGCAGACACTGCGTCCCCTCACCCCAGGAGTAGGGGGTGCCCATAAACCGGGGAAGGTCGTCAAGCATCCTCAGCTCTATCAAGATGAGGCTCTTGCAGAGGGAAGGCAGAAGTTTGGAAGCCGAGCCACCCGACCCTGAAGGCCGGCGGGGCTATTCGGGCTGCCAGCGGGGTACTGGACGGGAGGCTTTTCAGTGGCTCTGCACTGCTCTGGAGGGAGCCCCCTCCAGCATCGCGCCTCCCCACACCCGGCCCCTCGGGAGCCGGCCACCTGCTCCTTCTTCCTCCGCCCCTGCATCTCAGCCTGCACGAGAGAACCCAACAGTCCGGCCCCCACATCCCCGTGAAACCCAGACGCCGGTTTCCTGAACTTCAGCCCTGGCGTTCTGCAAAGACCCTAGCACGCGCCCCCCTCTCCCTAATGAATATTCTGGAGGACCCAGCACACGGCCCCGGATGGCCGCCCCTGGGGACCCGGAGTCCAGATCCTGCCTTCTCTCCCCCGTCCTCGTCCAGAAGCCGCCTAGGTGATCGCGCGGAGTCGCAGCCCGCGTCCCGTCGCTGGCCCCACCTCCCTTACCTGGTCCCGGGCTTCTCCCCCATGGTGCGCGCGCCCGCCCGGTCCGCGGAGAGCTCGCAGCCCGGAGCCCGCTGCCAGGTCCCTGCTCCTCCCCGCGCCACTGCGCACGCGCCCTCCGCTCCGCTCCCTCCTCCCTTCGGCACCCCCGCCCCCCACCCCTCCGATCCCGGGAACGGGGCCAGATGCGTCAGCCGGGGCCGCGCGCGCGACGGCGCTGCCCGCCCTCCGCACAGGGCCGCAGCGATTGGTCCTGCCCTCGCCTCCTCCGCGCCCCGTCCCAGCCCCTCCGGGGAGCCCTACCCGCCAGCGTTCGGCTCCCTGCGACTTTCCGCCCATCTCTCCGCCCCCCGCACCCTTTTAGGGAGTGATTGGGTCCTCTTGAACGAAGGCGCCCGCCTCCCGGGAGACCGGAGACCCCTGATTGGCTTCCTGCGTTCCGGGCAGGGGTCTCCTCCCCTTTGTTTGCTTCCTTGGTGGTGGAAGCGGTGGGGGTGTTCGGTCTGGTTGGGCTGGAGCGCACAGCCCGGGATGGAGGACGAGGGGATGCGCACGTGGGCGAGCGGTTTCTTTTGCGTGATGCTTCAGTGAGCGTCACTCACACGTTCATCTCAATGCTTGCAGCGTGTGTCGGGCCGCCTGCCGCTGTTTGGGTGGTATGTCAGCTCCCCCTGGTGTCTATCTTTGATCTTCGCAGGAATACTTTCCCAAATTTCTGGCCACCCATCCGGCTCTGCTCCGGCATCTACCCATCCAAGCACACAGGCATGCAGGCACTCATCTATGTACTCTAAAATAGTATTTATTTTGTATTGGTCTCTGGAGTAGGCAATGGTTTTTAGAGTATAATTAACACGATCCTTCTCGTATAATCGGGAGACGCATAGCGGGTATTGTGATCCCAGTATTGCTGAGTTATGACTCAGAAGACAAAAACTACCGGGGCTTTACTGGAGCTGGAATGGAGGAAGTGTAGGCGACATTTGAGGACAATCCTGAAATGTGGTCAGAAGTAGTGAAAGGACATGACAAGGCACATTCTGTTCTGAAGTGTTTGTGAGGTTTGAAGGCAGAGGGTCGACAGGAAGAGATTGTGAAGGATATTGTAAAATATAGGAAAAGAGACTCAGGCCCTTCCTGGAGGAGGAGGAGGATCAGGCATCCAGAACAAGTGGTTTTTTTTAAGCAGATGAGTGGCAGGATGAGTTTTTTTTTTAAGAACATAATTCTGGGCAGTGTGAAGGATGGAGGCAGTGTGGCAAAGCTGCTGTAAATAGTTAAGGGGAGATGAAGGTTTAGGGGCTCAACTGAAGAGGGCATTTTTAGGGTAATTTTTTTGGGGGACATCATCAGGCTATGTCCATGGGTGTTCAGAAGGTGTGTGGGGCTGGGCATGGAAACTAAGACCTGCATTACAGTCATGTATTCTAACCCTTTGAGTTAGCAATCTGGTTCGTTTTGAGGAAAATTGACTGGACTTGGGGTTGGAGGGAGGGATGATTAAATTTTCTGCTTTGTTGGGGGACCAGGCACACACCATGCTCAGGGGTTATTCCCAGGTGTGTTCAAGGGTCAGTCCTGGTAGCACTCAGCAACCATATGGTCTGGATGAGCCCGTGCCTCCAGCATGCAAAGCGTGCTCTCAGCAGCTTGAGCTGTCTCTGCAACCTCTCACTGACATTTCTGGACTTAGGGAGTTAAAGTGTTTCTCTTTATTCCATCTCTTTCCCCATACTCCTTCTAGTTTTCCCAAAATAACTAATATCACACATTACCCTCCATTTTTGTATGCAACAAAAAATTAATATGCACACGTCTGTTTCCTTTTTTTTTTTTTTTTGGTGGTGAGAAGGGATGAGTTTGGGTATACCTGGCTGTGCTCAGGGTTTACTCCTAACTCTGTGCTCAGGGATCACTTCCAGTGGGTCTCAGGGGACTTTTTGGGTACCAGGGGTAAAACCCAGGTAGGTCTAATGCAAGGAAAGTGCCTTACCCACTGTACTATCTCTCTGGCCACACACGTCTGTTTCTGATCTCATCTATTTTTGTTTATTTTAAGGGGGCCATGTCTGGTGGTACTCAGGGCTAACTCTGGATCTGTGTCAGGGTTCACTTGGAGGTACTCAGGGGGCCATATGTGGTGCTGGGGAACCACGTATGTGGGAAAAGAAGGTAGTGATATCACTAAACCAGCAAAGATACCAAGGTAACGACAACTTTAGGAAGATATTAAAGAAAGCAGGGAAAATTGAAAGAACCATAACCGCTTTGGGGAAAACTATGGTTATATAGATTGTCCAATTATGTATAAAACTTAATGCCATGTCAAAATATCAATGAGGGCTCTTTATTTTTATTTATTTATTTTTTTGCAGGTTTTAAAAATATTTATTCTTTTTTGAAAGTTAACATGTGAATAGGAAATGGAAAAAAAGAAGCAAAGAACGGTCATCTACAATTACACCCAGTTCTGTCTGACATGTCAGTGAGGGCTCTTTAGAGAGGAGAGATTTTATCCTAAATACAATCTGAAGGTTCTGGGGAGAAAGCTCAAGGGGCTTGTGCAGATTTGCATATTGGGGACCTAGGTTCAATCTCTGGAGCTGCATAGATCCCTGAGCATGGCTGGGAACCCCCCAACCCCAACCCCAAGCACCATGCCAGGAGGAGCCCCTAAGCACTTCCAATTGTGGCTCCCAAACAAAAAATAAATATAATCCAAAGAATCAACTTTTAAGTAAAGTAAAAAAAGCTCTAAAAAATTACTAAAATTGGGCTGGAGCCATAGCACAGCAGGTAGGGCATTTGCCTTGTATGTGGCCGACCCAGGCCAACCCCGGTTCGATTCCTCCACCCCTCTAAGAGAGCCTGGCAAGCTACCAAGAGTATCGCGCCCGCACAGCAGAGCCTGGCAAGCTCCCCGCGATGTGTTCGCTACGCCAAAAACAGTAACAACAAAGTCTCCACTGGAGACGTTACTGGGCACGCTCACGCAAATTGATGAACAATGATGGGAGGACAGTGCTCCAGTGCTACAGGCATTTGTTTTGTTTTGGGCCCGCACTCAGCAGTGCTCAGGACTTATACCTGGCCCTGCACTTAGGGATGACTTCTGGTAAGGTTTGGGAGATTGTGTGGGCTGTCAGGGATTGAACCTAGGTTGGCTGTGTGCAAAGGCAAGAGCTCTACCCACTGTATTATCACACCAATCCATTACTAGCTAATTTTTATGCTACAGTACGAATGTGAGAGCCAGAATGGTGGCGCAGGTAGGGCTCTTGCCTTGTACACAACTGACTCGGGCTTGATCCCTGGAACCCATTATGATTCCCCGGGCCCCCAGGAGTGATTCTTGAGTACAGAGGTAGAAGTAAGCTCCGAGCACTGCCAGGTGTGGCCCACCCTCCAAAATTACAAATGTGTCATTGATACAACAACACTAAAAAGAACAATAAAATAGAATAGAGGTCACATGCAAATCAGTATTGCATGACATTTTATAATCCTGGAGATCAGAGAAATCCTAAGATATCAGCCCCATGTTTATAAATAATAGCAGCAAATAATAATAATGGATACTAATAATAGCAGTATATATCAACACTTTAGAGATTTGCTATGAGTCAAATGTTCCAAGAGCTTTATAAATTACCAATTCATTTATTTTACTTCTTTTGCTTTTGGGACAAATCTGGCAGTGCTCTGAGGCTACTCCTGGCTCTGTATTCAGGAATCACTCCTGGCAATGCTCAAGGGGTTGTGTGGGATGCTGAGCATTGAACCTCAGCCATGTGCCCTACCCACTGTACTATCTCTCTGGCCCACTCTGTCTTCTTGATTATAGGCAGCGGATTGAAAAGGGACAGTCTGAAGAGACCTACGAAAGCTGGCCGCAGACCTACACCTACCTGCGTATTTGACATTGGGTTGGAGTCCAGATCTGGCCAAACATAGGGTGGGACCATAGGACTTCCCTAAACTGGCCGGAGCTAAGTAATACAGACTGCCAGGTGCCAGCAAGCACAGATACTCTTGTTGATATCAGGACTGCTTGGGGATACAGGGCCTGTAAAACTAGCCTGCCCAAACTAGGGACACAGCTGACGCAGTGAGCTAAGAACATTAATTCCCAGCAGCATTGTGGTTGCTTCAGGCCATGAGCCATCACAGATCCCCATCAGGCGTTAAGGTCCACAGAACCTCAAAACCACAGGCATAGATTCGATTTGGTGATTGTGAGTACTTCATTATTTGTTCATGCCTCTTACAACACTAGGCATAATGAAGAAATTAAGGGATTTACCTCATCAATAGAGGGTGAGAAGCCCAGAATTTCCCCAAACATGCTAGAACTTTCTGAATTACGTGAGGAAGACTTCTAAACAACAATCATCACTTTTCGGTGAAATGAAGAAGTCAGAGAAAGAAAAAAATCAATAAGCTCATAGAAAGTTGAAACAAGATATGAAAATATTCTTCCAAACAGAAGAGATTAGCTGAAGGGTAAAGTGCTGTATTTAAAAAAACACATTAGGGCGCATTTGCTGCTCGAACCATATGCTGCTTGTGCCCATGTGGCCGAGCACGTGAGGTGCCTGAGCACATGTGTCACCCATATCTCCCCTCTTGAGATGTGTACTTTCATGCTTTCCTATCTAATGCTGGGATGTGTGTAGGGGCTCTCTCCACTCTTAGAGAAGCCCACGTTCTCACTTGAGCACATTACTCTCTCTCTCTCTCTCTCTCTCTCTCTCTCTCTCCCTCCCTCCCCCTCAAATACCCTCCAAATAAAATCTCTTTTACAAAAAAAAAACACATTAGGGACTGAAGAGATATCACAGCAGATGAGACGCTTGCATATGTTCTCTTGAACACTCCTAGGAGTGATCCTTGAGCACAAAGTCAGGAGTAAGTCCTGAACACCACTGTTGTGGCTCAAAACTCACCCCTTCAATCCTACCGTTTTCTACAACCAACAAGATATTCACTACCTTCAGTTGCCCCCTACAAACTGGATGGAAGTAGAGGGTGTCATGATAAGTGAAATAAGTCTGAGGGAGAAGTC